TTTTTATCAAGCTTGCTTAATATTGTGCACAGCATACAACCTCAAAATATTGTTTATTGTATTTATTTATCTATTTATTGTATTTTGTTTATTAATGAAAAAAATTCTGTTGTATTTTGGAGTCTTTGTTTTTATCCTTGTGGTATTGAAAATGGTATCGAGTATCGAATATTTTACTTAGTATCGGTATCAAGTTGTAAAAGTTTAGTATCGTGACAACCCTACAGAGGATAACTACATTGATAGACTACGGACTCCTTTAAGGCAGAAGATCTGTTGCACTATGCTGGAGGAGCATGGAAGCACCCTCAATGATACTCTGGAGAAAAGAGGTTGCAAGCTCACTCGGACTGGACAAACTAACATACATTGCAAAGGGCAAACAAAGGGACTTTGAGAACCTATGGGAGCCATATATGAGGATTGTAGGGACTGTAAGTGAAGCTCACTGATGGCCGTTTTCAAATGGATGTCTTGACTACAGTTTTTATTCATATATTGCTCTTTTTTTAGGTCCCTGCCTTCATCTAAAGAGCATGGTATATTTTTGGAACTAAACAAATGCAGATTTAATTGGTATAAATACATGTTACAAGGTTAAGTTTGTAATTTTTGTTGTATTAAAAAAGAGAAAATTCAATCAAATATATTGGAGAAAAAAAGAAATAGACCAATATATAGGCTGGCTGAAATTTGCCTTTTCTTCCTTGGATCGCATTAGCCTATACATGCATGTGTTTGCCATTTCATCAGTGCAAGGAGCAGCCATGCTTTCAGATTATGTGTGAGTTCATGTGCTACCACTCCCCTCTATTTGCTTTAAACTTTTTATGTTTTGTTTGATCTGTTAATAAATATTTCTGTTTCAATTGAAACCTGTGTCGCATATGTTAACACTGTGTACTTTTTTAATCATGTAAATGGAGGGAAAAAATGCCAAACTAATCAATATCGGTATCAGCCTTAAAAAACCTGTTCTTGTACAAGTACCACAAAAGTAGGGCTGGTCAGTATATGAAGTTTTTTAAAGTAATCATAATTTTTTGTTAAAAGATAAAAAGCTAGTGTACGATGTAATGTAATTACACTTTTATAAATGTTCCACGTCTATGTCTATCAGCCCTATAACAAAGAAGTACCAAATGACATGGCTGTATTCTGCCCCAACACTTCAACTTGTTTATGAAACTTCAGCCAGCTAAGCCTCGCCTCATTAGATATTCTGCCTTTTTATATTTTTTTCATGAATTTCCCCACTGAGGGATAATTAAGGGTATCTATATTCTTACTAAGAGATTCAAAATAATAAGTCTACAAACGAAAGACGTAAAGCAGGCTGTGTGCATTCAAGAATGCACAAAACGAGACATAATACTCTTAATATTTGAACTGGCAAAATTTAAAGGCTCTGTAGGATGTAAATGGCCTGCAAACTTACCCCTGGGTTAGATAACCAAAACATTTCCTCTTTTTTAATGATAAAAGAATTTTGAAGTTGACACTGAAATAGAATAATTCCATCCAGGTTTGTGTTTTGTTAGTGCTGTAGTTCTGAAGCAGGACCCCATCTATGATGGTGGGACAACCAAAAAGCTCTAAAATCTGTAATTGATAGCAGACCCAAAATGTGGGTCAGTACCCCCTGGCGTGGTTGCAAGACACATTGTTCGAGGTAGCATGCTTTTATATATACTGTATCACTGAGGTATATGGAGGGCCAAAATATGTCATGAAATACATTAAAGGGACATGTCCACTGATAAAAGGTATAAAATGGATAAATTAGGGTGACCAAACGTCCGTATTTCCCGGGACATATCCGTATTTCACGTCCTGTCCCGGGCGTCCCGGGTTTTTTTTAGAAAGTGAGGAAATGTCCTGATTTCACTGCGCACGACGCTCCGTGTGACGTAATCCCTGAGCCGCGTCAGTGCAGGCAGCCCTGCTCTTAATCAGAGGCTCTGTTCAAAAACCTGGGCTGCATCCTCCAAGGACGCGGTCTACCTAGACTGGATCCTTCGAAGTCCTTGAAAATAAGGAGGCCGGAAGAGTTCTGTCTGTAAATTCGAACAGGTCCTCCCTTCGGCGGGTTTTACCGCCATATGCTCTGTTGCTTAGCAACCGTGAAAGTTGACACACAAAGCAGGAAAAGAATGAATACCGAGGTTTACAAAACTGTTTGTTTATTAATTTATTTTTTAAAAAGTTAAAGTGAACAAAGACTACACTCACAAGAATCCAGAGTGGAATAAAGGTTCCAACCACCGGGAGCAGGAACAAATCAAATCAAATGTAATGATAGAAACCTTAGTCAGTTAAATAACCTGCTGCTGTAAATCTGCACATCTCTGATGTTGCTGCTATTTTCAAATATCCATTATTGTAAAAATGTCCACAGTTGCATATTGGTTATTTATTCTCCAGTTTTATATTGTTAAAACACTTTACAGAATTTTATTTTTTATATTTTAACTCTTCCCTATTATGTTATTCTTATACATTTCTCTAAGGTCCTCATTTGTGTGACCATTTTCAATAATCTTTTTGCTGCTGTAAATTTGCCCATTGTGGGACAATAAAGGGATTTTCTATTCTATTCTATAAAAGGGTTAGAAATATATAAGTAAATCTAAACAATGTATCTACAAAATATATCTGCAAAATCTCTAATATTCAACAACAAAAAATACTTAGTTAAGCATATTGTGCAAAACGACAGTAAAAAAATTAAAATACTATCAGATTTATAGTTCCCACTCTGCAGATCTATTAGAATCTGTCCTTAAATTACAGCCAAACTCATTTACACAGTAACAGATTAAAACCTTTAGATAAACCACACATACCACACATACCGCCACATATCTGACTCAATAACCATTAAAACAACTATTTTCATTCATTTCAGACGGAACTATTCACAGAGTTGTATTATTATATTAAACTGAACTTCAAATTTTCACAACTGTTCTGCGCCAAGTAACATTATGCCAAGTAACCGATGATGAGACATTTGTTCTTTCAATATCACCCCCCCCCCCCCCCCCCCCCCCCCCCCGCTCCGAAGTGTCCTGGTTTTCCCAAATGAAAAAATGGTCACCCTAGATAAATATCATGAAATAAGTATTATAGTAAATAAACCATTACATGTAAAGTTCACAATTTAATAATTAAATACTTAAGTTAAATGTCCAGTTAAATAAATAAAAAAAACATTAAAAATCATAAATTATTTATATTAATTCCAAACACGAGCAAAAATTACTTTATATATATATATAAATATGTTGCCCTGTGATGGACCGGCTAACTGTCCAGGGTGTATCCTCTCTTTCGTCAATGGATGGCACCAGCATGGATTGAGCGAGATAAGATGGATGGATGGATGGATGGATTGATAAATATAGAACAAAATAATTACATGAATACATATATTTATAGGGTCACCACTCTGTTGCATTATTTTTTCGGGTTTTACAGGCTGAAATGCTTGGAAAACAAGCCTTACACTGATATAACCGAATGTTCATTGTCTATATATCTAGAAACGATTAACTTTATGTTGTATCAGCATATGGCTTGTAGCATTAGAATAAGAGGGACAACTACCGGTCCAAAAGAGGTTTAACCGGAGCAAATGTCTGTCGAGTATCCAACTTAAAACTAAGTTCACTGCAGTGCTGCCATTTGCAAAATGCTGAGAGTGGTTTTGTACGCAACGCTTAAAAACAAACCCGCGTGTAATTAAACACCGAGTTAAATAGTTTAAAGAAAAATAATAATACAGAAAAAACATTTTCCTCATTTCCTTTTACGGCTCTCGAGGTCATTAGAAACTGACAGCAAATCTTATCCTAACAGCCGTTTTCCAGCCTGCGCATTCCTAAATACTGGCCTGATATGTGTAAAGACTTGAAATAATCACACAACACAGTAAAATAAATGGTAACAGATGAAAAAAAGATTACCTTGAGTCGACCTAAACGCAGCAAACAGGCAGCCATCTTGAGTTCCTGTCAATTTTACAAAACGCCTGCTGGGTGTCACTACCCGATCCGACCAGGAAGCACGATCCGTCCTGCGCATGCGCGAACGGATATACTGGCATCTATAAATACTGTAATTATGGTACTAAAACTACTTATTTCTATCCTTAAATCACTAAAGAAATCCAATAAACATCTTTTAAAATGTTTTTTTAAATTTGTGAGACAATTTTTATGCTTTTTACAGAAATGCACAGAGCAGTGTGGCAAAATATTATTAAACCATGTTTATCTGCATTTTTGTTTTTTCTTTCTTTATATTACGCACTATATAAAATAAGTTTAAAACGAAATTAAAATATAAAACTCAAAAAGACTAGATTTATGTTTAAATCCAAAGCTGAAAAAGTTAGCAACCTGAAGTAGCGTAGGATCCCATTTCCTGTGCAGATCGGGCAGAGACAAGTGATAAAACAGAAAGGATTTTAAGGCATTTAAGGCAGTTATTAAAACATACCCAATGGTATGCACGAATCTGCATATTATCTATCTATCAATCTATATCCAAACACACTGACATATAAATGAATATGCGTACATGCACATGCATACACACACTTATATACATACTTTAAATCCCTGCCAACACACCCATGAGGGGCCCATGTGGGTTGGATGTGGGCTGGTGGGTGCTATTTTTGTCCGCGGGTTCCATGGTGGCCCCTTGTGGGCAAGCCCACATGGGCTAACGGTGGGTTTCACATGGGCCCCACACGGGCAACCCAGTTTTTTCCCACATGGGACCCACACTGGACCCTGGGCGGATTATGGGTCCTTATTATGTCCTACACAGGCTAGCCTTTATTATTACAGGCTATTTAATTTTGGAGTGGGTTCTTATTTTGTTTTATTATTGTATTGTGTATTATTTTTGTGAATGCTGCTTGTCAAGACTTTGATGCAATCAACTGTGAGTTGCCTCTATCCACTATATAAAATAAAAATGCCATGCCATTATTCAAGCTTTTTTTTATTAAGTCAAATGGAATAAGTATTTTAACGATTAAATCAGATGCATAATACACACACAATATAATACAGATTATAACAAGTTGAGAAAGTGTTATACATCAAGAAAAAAAAAAAAAAGGTCCCATAACAAATGTTCTTCCGATGAGCAAGAAGTGGATCTAGTGGGAAAAGGAGGGAGAAGGAGGGACTTGAGGGACCTGTCTGGCCTGTCTATTGCCTCCCCTGTCCCTTGATCCAATCAGCCATTTGGAAACTGCCCTCTCCACATCCTTCCTGGTGATCTGGCTGGTTAAGGCATTCTTCTTTAAAGCTCCTGCAGGAACTATATGTTATGGTTACCTCATGTGCCAACACAACTCTCAGCAAGGATTGTAAAGTCAACTATGTTGAAGTGATATTCACCCAAAACTGATCACTTTTATATCAATCACTCAAGGTTTAAATTGTATTTTTGGTTTAAGTATCCCTTTACATTATTGACTTTACAAACCTGCAAATGTCAGAATGAACTGGGGAAAAGCAAAGAAAAAACAAAGATCAAAATTCAATGCCATCTGGCCATGGCTGTCACATTTTTTTGTAATATCTGGCTTTAATAAATAACACAATAACAATTACAAACCAAGTGATAATAAAAACACAATTAACATTTTTTCATAAGAACATATAACTGGAAGATCTGTGCAAGAAAATCTTGAAAACATTTACTTTTCCGATAACATTTCTGGAGCACCTCTTTTAAGGGGACATTTATTATGTCCTTGAGGTGAGCGTATTATTGCACCTTAGAAAATCCCAATTACATTAAATTAAGCTTTCTAGCCAAAAATAATGCCATTTCAAGTCATACAGTAATAACCATAGCCAATAAATTTCTCCTGACAAAAGTTACTATATTACAGTTACGTATAATCCATTATGCACTTACCAAATATGACTTCAAACAGCTTTAAAGTCCTGAACTCCCGCTTTCCATTCCGGCCCACAAAGTTATACTGTCTGGAAAGGTCATGGTCCATGATAAAGACCATCATACATCTTGTGGCGTCATCCACAGTGCTCCCTCCAATGTCTGCCACTGCTGTGACCTAAGGGGGAACAAAGTCAGTACAAAGTAAAATCATTTTTTATTTTTTTTTTTGCAGCTTCTCATGGCTCGCTTTTATTGACAGTAAACTGTCAGGAAATAGATTAATGTATAATTGTTTTAGTATTTTAACAATTTACTCAATTTGTTGCTATAATAATAAAATGTTAAAACATTTTGAAATACATTGGTGCTTCTCAAATCTCTTGTTCTGTCCACAAAACAAAGAGATACTCGGTTTATGGCCAACAAAGAGGACCGAAATATTCTTATTTAGGAAGCTGAAATCATAGAATTAGGACCTTTTGGCTTTAAGAAAGCTATAAGTGCCAATTAATTGAATTATTGACTACTGTCCAATTTATTGATGATTTGTTTCAGCCAGCCCCCCCAATAAAACTGAATGAAATTTCACTATAGACTTTACATACATACCAGTTCAGACATGAAGCTTGGGTCAGACAGTTTTTCCTCCATTACCTCGACCTCCCCAACTGTCTTTAGGGGGAAACCATCTGGGATGATAGAAAGGGTGTCACCACTGTTGCCACGCTGTGCCATGGTTTGTAGCATCCTTCCATGAACTCTTAGGGTTTCTTTGACTTCCTCAAGGACTTTCAGGATGTGAAAAAGGACGTTGTCCCTTATTTGCATTTGCAGGGATTCGTGTGTTGACATGGCTGACCTAAGGAAGAGTACAAGCAAAAAAGTGTCATTGTAGACCAGTTGGATAGAGGCAAAGGAGATGTCAGCACAGACACCTCAATCAGACAATTAAAGAGGCCGATTGAAAAGTACACATTCTAATCAGTTTCTCTCGCTCGCATCACTGTTTGTCAAGATGGGATGTGAGGATGGATGGAGGCAGTAAGTGTCTGGGCAGACCTGAGGGGGGCTGGAGGCAGAGGAGGTGTCAGGGTGGAACTCTGGGTGGCAGGAAGCAGAGGAGGTGTAGGCCTCTGGGTGGATGACGGCAATGGAGGCATCAGCACAGACCTAATGGAGGCAGAGGAGGTGTCAGTACAGACCTGAGGATGGATGGAGGTAATGGAGGTGTCAGTACATACCTGTGGGTGAATGGAGGTAGTGGAGGTGTAGGCGTGTTGGTGGATGAAGGCAGAGGAGGCGTCAGCACAGACCTGAGGGAGGATAGAGGCAGAGGAGGTGTCAGTACAGACCTTAGGGAGGATGGAGGTAATGGAGGTGTCAGTACAGACCTGAGGGAGGATGGAGGTAATGGAGGTGTCAGTACATACCTGTGGGTGAATGGAGGTAGTGAAGGTGTAGGCGTGTGGGTGGATGGAGGCAGAGGAGGCGTCAGCACAGACCTGAGGGAGGATGGAGGCAGAGGTGGTGTCAGCGCAGACCTGAGGGAGGATGGAGGCAGAGGAGGTGTCAGTACAGACCTAAGGGAGGATGGAGGTAATGGAGGTGTTAGTAAAGACCTGAGGGAGGATGGAGGTAATGGAGGTGTAGGGCTATCATCTTCATCCTCGCTGGACAGAATCACTCTCCTAGACCTGTAAAATAGACCAGCACAATCAGATAATTCATTAGTTACAGTGAATTGAATTGAAGTGTTTTAAAAATAGTAGGGTACACAATACAAAAACAATATATTTTGTACAACAGGTGACAGTTGAGCATATAATCATATAATGCAGACAGTGTTTCCATAGACTGTTACTGTGTGTGTGTGGGAGATGACACCAATATGCATACATAATAATCCAAACAGCCTTACCTATTTTTGCGCTTCCCCCTTCCCATGTTCTCCGCAGAATCAGACTCTGTCGGGTCGTATGTGTTCTGTTCAAACTCAACCAATTTTATACGGGCTATCTCGTATGTGGCTGTCCGAGAGATACAAAAGAATGAGTTAATTACTTTTATTTCGGAGAACAAATTCTAACCAAATGAATGGTGAGCCTATCTTGTCGCATCATATCATACATTAATTAAGAAAGATGGTTACACTACCTGCTTTTCTCTTGACAGTCAACTTGAAGGTTGCCCAGTCAGAGTGTGGGTCCTGTTGGTCTATGACCGCCTTGGCAATGTTAACTCTTGCTGGTGGCCAGTAGCATTCATCCTCCTCAGGCCCGATAAACCATTTGGTCGGGATCACTGCCAATCCTCCACCATTTTCAAAATCAACAATTGCAAAAGGCAATATACTTAAAAAAATACACATCAATAGAAATATATACATGCATAACAACAAATTAAAAACAAAAACAAATAGGTTGCACACTAGTGCAAAAGTGGCAATGCCAAATATCCAGTCTTGTGTGGTAACAGAAACATTTTTGTTTTTAAGTCCTCCACAGGTTGTAGCTGCAAGTGTTCAGATAAATTGAAGACAAAAAGAATTCCAACAACTGAGGAGTCCATTGGATAGGTGAAAAACGGTTGGGCATTTTCAAAGGAATTACACAGTACTTTAACGGTTCCGGAATGTGACAATATGTTTTGCACAACAACAACAGTTCCCCCAACAAAAAAACTGTTGTTGCCACGAGAACAGGAGATCAGTGTCTGTCCATCATTGTACGATCTATACTGTTCCCAAGTACCAACTGAATTAATCATTGGTCCAGAAAAGTGTAGCTGTTTCAGTGGCGTAAACACTGGTGTGGACTTTTTGCTTGCCACTTTCTGCTTCTCATGGATGCGCCTGACGAGTTGGTGGACAGGGTTTTGTGGTCGACGAACAAGTTTTTTCAGTTTACTGTTAAAGAAAAATGATTATTTTTAGTTTTTAATACAGTTAATCTTATGGCATGTGTAAAAGGTATGTTGAGCACTCTCATTTTGAACATATTTCTTAACTTTGAACAAGTTTGTGAAGATAACCTTTCCTTGAACCAGATTACTGAATTTAAGTTTGTTCCGGAGAATTTATGGTAGGAAGAGGCCCCCGCATTCCAACGGCTATTCTGTGAGGTCTTATCTCATGTTTTCTTTAGCCAGATGTTTGCCATAAATTAGGGGAAGCTCTAAGTTTTTCTGAGTGTCAGCGATAGCTCCTGGTTGGAGGAGCAAAAGCCAGCCTTATTTGAATAAATTAAATACAAGAGGTTAAAACTTTCTACACAGAAGTAAAAAATCAGATTTGCTCTTGCAACTCTCCAAAGATGTCTTTGTACGTCTTTGCTTTCTTTCCTTCTCTCCATTTATGTCAGGTAATTGAATGTATGTCTCCGTTGTTCTGCAGTTTCTGGTGTAGGTTTGTGCATTGTCTTATTTCTAAGTTTATGCATTGTCTTATATTGGATTAAACTCTGTAATTCTGTGACGTCAACACGCAATGCTGGTTTTCCTTGTGGCCACACGCAGCTCACCGAGAGGCTCGGGAAAAGAAGGAAGAGAGAAAGCCAACCTTTTTCCAAAGTTAACTATTTTAGAATAATTTCTTCCTTAACAAATGTCTCAAAGGGAAAAGCTGAAACACCATCCAAGGGGCCGAAATTACATGCATCCTGAGCTAGGTGGATCAATGAATGGATGTTATAGCTGACAAATTCAGAGCCATAAATTGAAGCAAAATCTGTTACAAAGAGCTTCAAAAGCTCCTCTACATAGTCACAACTGTCAGGAGAACATAACCCAGGACAAAGAAGAATTCTCATAGACACAAATAGAAGTAAAAAGTTTCTGTACATTCTACAAGGTATATTATTGAGAAGGACAATAGGCCCAGTGTACAGCAAAAATTGACGAAGCTCTGTAGCTTTCCATGTGCTGAATTCAAACAAGGATCGTGGTTTCCTTGCGAAATTGCTAGGTAAATATTGCCTAAGAGAAACCAGATTAGCTGACATAACAACGAAATATTTCACAGATTGCCTGCATTTTAGCGGCCCCTTCAACCAAAGAAATATGAGCCTATGCATTGCCCCCAAACACACAAGGTGCATGTAATCCAACACAAAACTGGTAACTAAACCTATACCTAGGGGGACACTGACAGTTGATGCTTTTGATAGGCCTGCCTGCTACATTGCTCATCTGTCCTGAGCTCTGCTGATACCTAAGGAAAAAACACCCTTCCATCCTTGTACTGGCCTTTTTGAGTGCATCTCTCACATCCATAATAGCCTGTATGGCCTTTGGAGCATTTAAGAAAGCCGCGAGCGGGTGCATCACAAATAAAAGCATCGGGTACTCCTATCATGAAATGTGCACCACCGTAAAGAATACCCCTCTGAGAAATAGTTTTAAAATCTTCTATGAACTCTTGTAAATACTCTTGCATGCTTGTGGGTTTTTTTATGCACCTGAGTACACTCCAATTACAAACACACTACACTCTGGAATTTCCTTAATTCTACCCAGAATAGCCCACAGACTCACACTAAAGCTGCGGAATAAGGGTATTCCATCGATATTAATCCGAAGTGTGAGTGTATCAGTCGCTTTAAAATGCTCTAAAGATTTTAGTTCAGATATGAGAGCATTTTCAATCCCAAAGTGATAGTAGGATCCCCCAGCCAAATTTGTCACTTTGCATGACCTGTCAGTGGACATAAGAGTTCTGGCATCCATTGGGACATCAAGGCCCTTTCTGCTCAAGATTTTCAAAAGTGCAGACAGCACTGTTTGTGAAATGTTGAATTCTGTGGCCCACTCTGCAAGCCCATCTGAAACATCATCGTCATCTACCATGTCGGCATATTCATCTCCAAGGAAATCACAGTCACTATCTGGCATATCATATGAATCCCAATTTTCATTAATATGATCTAATGATTGAATGTTACAGTCATAAAAAACATTAGTGGAATTTCCGTCTTCATGATTACTTGATAAATTGTCATCGCAAGCATCATAGAAAGTGTCCATGGAATCAATGTTCTCAGAATTAACTGCCAATAAATCAGTCGGCTGCTTTTCGAGCATAAGAAAATGCTCCTCCACTTTTGCCAATACTTGCCTTTGTGTTCTTTCTGAATGATTACTTGATAAATTGTCCTCGCAAGCATCAGAAGTGTCCATGGAATCCATTTTCTCAGAATTATCTGCCAACAAAGCCATAGACTCCTTTTCGAGCACAAGCAAATGTTCCTTCAATTTTGCCAATATTTTCCTCCTTTTTGTTCTTTCTGAAGTCTCCATGATTTCTAAGAAAAAAATGTTTTAGGTTTCAGCTATGATAAACACAGGATGACAAACTCCAGCCAACAACCGCAAATTATTTGGTTAGAAAATGTGTTTCTGTGGTTAATCACAGATCTAAGTCCATGTTAAGTGAAGCTATATTTGTTTTGAGTATATTGCATCACAGCGGTGACTAGACTAATGTGTGCAATGTGTAGACGACAGAAATCCGCCGCCACTGGCCGTCCGACTTAGGTACCACACGCAACGGTGACGCCCAGGGGCTGTCGGAGCGCCGCACAATCCCTAAACGCTCCATGTTGGCAAACTCCTCCTGCGCAACAGCCAGCTTTGCCGCGTCAAGATAGCGCGCACGCGCAAACACTGGAGCGCCAGTCGTGGTGATATAATGCTCTATCCCGTGTTTTGTGTCGGTGTTTGAAAAATTGGGCAGAGTCAGAGAAGGAAAATCTGACAATAAACGGTGGAAAGCGTCCTCTGAAGCTAAAAAAAATTGTATGTACCAACAGCCCAGCTCCTCGCGTTATACAAGGCAGTGAGGAAAAAGAAACAGCATCAATTAGACTAGCAGGCCGTGAGCACAGAGGAAGTCAGCCCCTATGATGGGGACAGAGCTCGCAGCTACTACAAAGTTCCATTGGAAGTCACGCCCATTGAAAGAGACAGTCACCAACCTTTCTCCGAATGTTCTGATCGGAGAACCTTTAGTGGCGGTCAGCTGGGGACCGCAGCCCTCAGCAAGCCTGTCGGAGCCCGCCGGGGTAACGAGGCTCTTCTGCGAACCCAAATCCACCAGAAAACGTCTCCCCGATCGCGAATCCTCAACAAAGAGCAGCGTCTTCTTATCGCCGATGGCCGCGGCTGCTAGCAGGCGTCGGCTTGCAGGGTGGGAGGCAGCGCAGCGCCCTTGCGCTGAAGCGCTGATGGTAAAAACGTTTCCTGGTGGCGATCGCTGTCATCACCGACGGCTGATCGACCGCTGAAGCGGGCAAAGGCTCAGAAGAAGCTGCTGTAGTTTCCCTGGTTTACGACTGGACCGTGAAGGTCTTGGAAGCCAGGAGGATGCGATCAACTTCTTCCGCCAGCGAGTGATAATCCTTCTCCCGCAGCAGGGAAGAGTTAGCCAGAGCGATCCATACCGGGGCTGGAAGCTGTCGCAGGAGCAGATGGATGAAAAGAAATCTGCCGTCGTCACCCAACAAGGACAGCATGCTTTCCATCAGCTCCAAAGCCGAGCCATCCCCTTACCCAGAGAAAGCAACTTCTCGGCGCATTCTGAGTCGGAGTAACGGCGGAGAAGCAGGTGCTTGAGGGCGCTGTACTTTCCGTCCGCCAGAGGGTTGCGAAGCAGGGTCTTTGCTCGCCTGGTGGGTGGAGGACATGTTGGCTCACAGGGGTCACCAATGTGGAGGGGTGAAGATGACGACACAAAGCAGGCAGGTTTAAACAGTTCTTTACTCTACTCCATCTGAGAGCAACTGTACAGAAAGCCCATATATATACACATCCGAACAAACATAACTACAACCTCTCCACTGAGTGAGAGTGGAGCCCCCTAGTGGTCCGCCTCAATATGGCCTTTTTTTCTCCTTTTTTTTGAAGTTAACTGCATGTTTTATTTCTCTAATTTGGATTTACTTTACCTTGAATTATTTACTTTCTTGTTAGATTTTTTTTTTGTGGTTGTGTTACATGTTTTTCTGATTTTGTTTGGAGGTCACGTTACCAATCATATCTGGACACGCCCACGACAGCAGCACAGGTGTGTTCAATCAGCCAAACAGCATGTAGAGCGGACGCTGATGATAAAAAGGCAGCTGGTTGGTTGAAGGAGCAGAAGCCGGCCATGGGAAGCTGGGCAGAGAAGCCGGACAAGGAGGGAGCCGGACAGAGTGGGTGAGGAGCGGCAGAGGGAGGGATCTGGAGACTGGTTGCCTCAAGCGCGCTAGAGAGAGGCGCGCTGGTATGGCAAGCCATACCTTCGCCTTTTAATCGGCCACACGTAGTTAACTTGCGAGAGCACATCAAATACGCGTCATCTACGCATTGATTTCATGTGATTATCAGCCATTTGGCCACTTGTCCAGTTTGAGCTGGTGAGTGTGCTTTTTTCCCACTGGCTGCTGAGTAGTAGGGTTAAACCCAGAGTGCGAAATACAGGGGGGTCCGGGGGGGCTCGACCCCCCCGATTAACCCATGAGACTCCCTGAAAGCCTCAAAAGCAGGTCTTAAATTGTGTCAAAAAAAGTTTAAATAAAATTTTCTGGCTCATTGCTCATATTTGCGTATTGTTTCTAAGTTATATACTATAAGCTTTATTATGTATAATATTTGATAAAGTCTTATTTTGAGAGCACCGGAAGTTGAGCTGTTGGTGTCTTCCTGTTTAACGAGTAATCACTGCATAGCTGAATCTGTTCTCACTGTGCTACGTTTTTGGCCAGTACAGCATGTAGTTTGATGTGAAGGGTGTTGTTGTGATTCTATAGTTAAATTCTATTCCCAGCCCGCTGGGAATTTATGTTTCTGATACTTTAAGATGTTTATTGCCCTGTAGGGGTGCTAAAATATCTTATTTAATCAGATATTATTTCAGCTGTTATATACTGTTTATGACACACAGTCCTACTAACTGTGTGTTAGAACAATAGATGAAAGAGTGATTCGAGCACTAATCATGGTCAAACAGTTATTTCTGCACATACATGGAATAAATTCACCACAACTTCTGTTTAAAATATAAGAGTTTATTAACAAAAATCATTCAGCTCCAAGTCAATTGTATTTCAGTTTAACACTCTCAACTAAGACTAGTAAAACTCAACTAAACTAAACTAACTACTATGTACAAAGAGGAAGGGGAAAACGGTTGAAAAACATATTACAGTTTAAGATGGATTCTGTGTTTGAAACCAAAGTTTATCTGAAAGAATTTGGGATATGATCAAATTAGCTTTTCACTAATTTTAAAGAAATTGGAATGTTTTCAGACCAATTCACAATGCAAATCCATGAGGTAAATAAAACATTATCTGGCAAAATAATGTTTTATTAAATGATTTGCTTAATCAAGAACCAA